ACACCAAGCTCCTCAAACTCTATGAGCTCTCTCCTTCCTCCATTTCTTTTATAGTCTTAATTTATGTTTTAGTTTTTATGGGGAACTAACTCCCTAGCTAAGGCTAGGGAGAAAGCTTTTAATATAAGTGTGTAATTTTTATTAGTTTGATCCAAACTTAAGCTTTAATGTGAATTTGTAGTTTTTGTTCAAATGGAATTTGTAGTTTTCTTTGTAATTAATTGATGAATGTTTGATAATCTATTTCATGGGTTCAATCATGTTTTTCCCATTGTGTAGTAAAAACTTTCATGCTTTTAAAAGAGAAGAGAATTACTAAAGATTAATAGAATTTTGATGAAGATTATTTTTTGATAGTTTGTTGCCAATGTTACAAGTTATGCTTAGAATACTTCTAAAGGAAATTAAAAAGAGCTTTAATTATTTTGAACAACTACAATGGAAAATATTTTGTGGATCAAATTATTAAGAGTTGCATGCTTATGTTAAAAGTGGAAACCCAATGCCTTAGTATTTTAATCAATTGAATTTTCTTGAAATCAAATCTTGCATAAATCTACTTTTCAATCATAATCGTTCTTTTTCACCTCTGTTATCTTTACACCGCTCTCTGTGGATACGACACTCGGACTTCCGAGCTACACTACTATACGACACCTTCCCTTGGGTTTTGCAAAGTGGTATTAACAAATAGAAACTCATTCAAACTTTATGTCATGGATCCTCCCCTATAGGCAAAAGATGAAAAAGTGAAGCATTCAACCCATAAAATGCCATGGTCAATTGATAATAGATAACAATTTAATATAAGAAACTAATATTTTAATTAAAAATTTTAAAAATAAACATATGGGTTTGAAAATTAGACCTAAAAATATCGAGTTATTTGCACTAACACCTCTTGAGATTTTTGGTGCTCTCACAATACTCCTAAGGTTTCAAAAATTACAAGAACACCTTTGAGGTTTCAAATTGTTTTTACAAAACCCATTTCCGTTGATTATTTGTCCAAAAATTGATGATTTTATAATATAAAAAAACTTATACAAATGAGAAAATTAACCCCAATAAAATGTATGTGCAATCTAATCTCAAATGTAGCTTTTGGATTATATAAAATCTTATATCTTTGGATGAGAAATCAATGAAAATGAATTTTGTAAAAACAATTTAAACCTCAAGTTATGTTTATGAACCTCAAAGGATTTTGTGAAAAAACCGATAACCTGATGAAATGGATTCCGAGCTTCCTCTCTGTGTAAATAACTCTAAAATATCCGACTTCCGCATGTTTGATAAGTTGGTAGGACAAATTATAAATACCAGAACTTAAAGGGTCACAATTCTGACCAAAAGAAAAAAAAGGGTCACAACTACAGTCAAAATAAAAGAAGAAATTGCAGGTCTGCACTGCACATAGACGGAGGGTTTAAGCCAAGGTTTTGGCTCCTTGTTGTCTTCAACCTCTGTTGCACTGCTCCTTGCTCCGAAACGACGACGTTAAGCTGTTGAAGTTCAGAATAAACTATTCAAGTGAGCTCTCAAATTTCTCTCTCTCTATCAATATGTTTTATTCAATCCCTGCTATTGCTCTGTAGTTAGTTGATGAAAATCAAACCCAGAAAATGACCTAAACCCTTTGAGCTCCCAATCCCAAAATGCATCGCCGCCTTTCCATTTTCACCCACAAACTTCTCAAAAATTCCAATTCTATCCTCAACACCACCACCAAGCACACCACCACCTTCTTCCTCTGCTCCCATTTCAACCCCTCAAATCCTAGGGCCGGTGGGTTTGCCTTTTTTCGCTTTCTTTCATACTCTCCGGTGAGCCGGCGGCCACCTGATCCTGAAGACCCCTCCAACTTGATCAAAGAAGATGGGGTCTCGGTTATATCCCAAATGTGGATTGAGAATTTTCGAGAACCTGATAGGATTGCGACCAATTTGTCCTCTTATCTTCGGCGGTTGGAGTTGTGGGTATTGGCGTACCAGAAGGTTTGTGCTGATGAGATGGGTGCGTATATGCCTCGCAGTGCAATACAGAGGGCAGCTCTTGAGGACTTGTTAGCACTTCGTAATGCTGTTCTTGACAGTAGGTTTAGGTGGGGGGCTAGACTAGAATTCTATATAAAATCACCCAAGGATAAGACCGATTACCAGTCATTGTCAAAGAGGAAAATTAAGGCCATCTTGACGACCACACAGCCAACCCCATTTCAAGATAGGTTAGTTCAGGAAGTGCTGCTTATGATTTTGGAGCCGATATATGAGTCTCGGTTCTCGCAAAAGTCATTTGCGTTTAGGCCTGGGAGAACCGCACATACTGCGTTGAGGGTGATTAGGAGGAGTTTCGCAGGGTACTTGTGGTATATAAAAGGCGATTTGAGTACCATCTTGGATGGGACGAAGGTGGGGATGGTGATAAATGCTTTGATCAGGGATGTGAGGGATAAGAAGGTGATTGATTTGTTGAAGGCGGCCTTGGTTACACCGGTGATCACGACTAAGGATGATGGGGTGGAGAAGAAGAAAAAGAAGAGGAAATATCAGAAGAAGAGGGTGTTGGCAGAGGATGAACCCAAGCCAGACCCATATTGGTTGGAGACCTTTTTTGGGTTTGCACCTGAGGAGGCAGTGAAGCTTCCTTCTTGGGGTCATTGTGGGATACTTAGTCCCCTTTTGGCTAATGTTTGTCTAGATGAGTTGGACCGCTGGATGGAGGGAAAGATCAAGGACTTTTATCATCCGTCAAAGAGTGATGTCATATGGAATAGCCCGGAAGGTGAAGCAGAACAGGGAAATACGTCTTGGCCTGAATTTGTGCCAACAAGTGGCCCAGATAAGACCAGAAAGATGGATTACATACGATATGGTGGTCATATTTTGATTGGTATCAGAGGACCTCGAGCAGATGCAGCTACATTGAGAAAACAGTTGATTGAGTTTTGTGATCAGAAGTATATGCTCAAGCTTGATAATGAGAGCCTCCCTATAGAACACATAACAAAGGGTATAATGTTTCTAGATCATGTGTTGTGTCGCAGAGTTGTGTACCCAACGCTTCGTTACACTGCTACTGGTGGGAAAATCATTAGTGAGAAGGGCGTAGGCACTCTTTTATCAGTTACAGCAAGCTTGAAACAGTGCATCAAGCAATTTAGGAAGTTGAGCTTTCTGAAGGGGGATAGGGATCCAGACCCACAGCCTTGTTTCAGAATGTTTCATGCCACCCAAGCTCATACTAATGCACAAATGAACAAGTTTCTGTCCACAATGGTTGAGTGGTATAAGTATGCAGATAATCGGAAAAAAATTGTGAACTTTTGCTCTTACATATTAAGGGGTTCACTTGCAAAGCTCTATGCAGCAAAATACAAGCTCCGTTCACGTGCAAAGGTGTACAAGATAGGTTCTAGGAATTTGAGTCGTCCTTTGAAGGAGAAGAAGGGGCAGTCACCTGAGTACCATAATTTGTTGAGGATGGGTCTTGTTGAGTCAATTGATGGGCTGCAGTATACCAGGATGTCTCTTGTACCTGAGACTGATTACAGCCCTTTGCCAAATAACTGGAGACCCGATCATGAGAAGGCATTGCTCGAATATATAAGGCTTGATGATCCAAAAACTATAGAGGAGCAGCGTAGTTGCATCATGGATCAAGGTCTTGTTTCACCTCAGGATTACATTTCAATGCTTGTTTGGAACTACAAAAGGAATGCTGTCATGATGGATCAACTTTCCTTGGTCAATAGTGGTAGCATTAATACTGAAAGAGATCAACTATTGCTGCTGGGGTCGAACCAGGATAAACTTGAGCACAGGACTAAAGAAGAAGAGGAAAATGGTGAACGGTTTAGTGTATCACAAATGTAAAAATTTTACAGGCACAGTATTTTGCTGAAGTTATTCATGTGGCACGTCATTATGATGGCTTTTTACTGGCACACATGCTGGCAAGTTATAGAAATGTTAGCTGTATGTTGTCAACAAGGCAATGATATTTGGTTAGTTATATTCTTTCTGATCTATTTTGCTTTTGTCAACAGCAATTTTTTTTTAATTATCGAAATTTTTTCAATTTTCAATAATGTTAGACAAGCATGTTTCATATCTTACATTATTTTCCAATGTTGGAGTTGTAGTTGTTTACATAATGGACCAACAATCCACCAACCCAAAAAAAAATGGGACCTACGATCCTCACCTTGTTGTTAAGAAACGAAAGAGATAAAATACAGCTACGAACACCTTTTGAAACTGGAAGTACCCTGCTTGAATCTTTTTTATAAATATAATTACAAATCACCATTAATTGTAAAAATCTAGATTCCCATTTTCTTTTGTTAGTGTTTTCGGTTTTTAATCCTTTTGAGAACCAAATGAAATTGTCTTTTAAAGTTGTATTGCCTATGAAAAATTGAAAATATGTTTTATAGTTGTATATGCATATCGTTGAAGTTGTCAAGGAGCAAACTAGTTTAGGGTAATTCCAAAATCTGGCAAAATCATGTTATTTTGTCCAGGAAGTTATGAGATATTTTTTAAATGACCTTTTGATTTCATGCAACAGTGCGCGCAGTCTTGTTTATACATCCCCTCTCACATGCCGAGTCACAGGCAGCGCCTTGTTAAGTGAAAGCACGGATAAGCCACATGCAGTTATTAGGAGTTTCAAACTTTTTATAGACATTTTATCTGACTGGCGTCCACAGCAAAGGATGTTCTGCTTTGGGGCTCATCTATTGTTTAGTGAAAACCTAAATAAAGAAAAGGTTTTTAGATTTCTGTGCTTTGTTCCATTTTATCTTATCTTAAGAGACCTCTGGCTGAGGGAATTTTTTTGGTTCAATTTCTGGTTTGTTAGGTGACATCTGAATTTGTATAAAAACACTTAGCATGTTGCAGGATTGTACTTTGAGCAATCTTTTGGGGTGAATATGTAGAAAGGTAGCATTTATATAATTTTTGTGAGTGATAGTTAGAGGGGCTGTTGTTAGTCCAAAGCTGTAAGTTATTGCTCAGATAATGTTGGTGTCATTGTATCTCCATGTACAGCTTAATCATGAAAAATAACGCTATCATTACTGTTTTTGAAGTCTGTTTTCTGATTGTGTGGTACTTTCTATGCCCGAAATTGGCTTAAAAATTCCAGGCCCCTTTTCAGCTTCTCCAAGTAATGTTATTTTACTGATGTTTTGCTGGCCAAAGGTTATATGTTTCTCTGATCATCATAGTTTATCTTATCTTTGTTTGCACAACAATTGTTCTCTGTCTTCACGATTCTTGGATTTCATTTCATCACTTGTCATTACTGAATTAATGATCTCTGCTCTGGTTACTGGAGTAGCTGTTATTACCAGACCAATTGGTAAAGAGATGTGCTTACTTGTGCCCCATGATTATGGGTGCTGCCAATGCTATAGACTGAGTGTCGATGTCAGGGGCCTCTCTGTCTCTGTTTACTTGGTGATTTTAGGAATTGCAGGGTTTGCTCAAATAATATTACTTGCTGGATTGTTTCCTTGTTTGGGGCACGCAAGTATTTGAGCTAGATTATCCTTTCATTATTTAGTTAAATACTCATTTATGTTTGAAGTTTGATTCCCATCTGTCCTAGTCCAGATAGATAATGCCCTCTTTCTGCAAAGTTCACCTTTTCCTAATCACATGAAGTAGTAATTGTGCAATTGCTACTCATCTGGTTGTTGACTTCATTCAAGGACAGAAATTCACTGATGGACTGCTGAAGAACTAAAATTGTTCTCACTCAATGCAGTGCTCAATGCAGCTTTGGAGAAGCGAATCAGGAACCCAACAGTGAGGCAGTGGCTTGACGAGCTTGAAGATGCACTCTATGCGGCAGGGGGTTGGATGAGTTGAAGACTAAAGCTCTGCTCACCCATTGCGGGCATGGTGGGATCGGAAAGCCCTTAACTTTTATAAAATGATCTTAGAGTAAACTAGCATTTTGATGTATTTCTGAAGAATATCATAATTATACAAAAAAAATTATGATTCGATCACTTCGCAAACTTGTGGTATTGGGGAACTAGATTCACTTCTCGGAGGTATTTGGTTTGCGTGAAAATGATCCATCAAGGGAAACATTTATCACCCTTTCTTCTTTTCTTTCTGTGCACAAGTATGTATCAATGTGGAATTGGAACAGCGGATGGTGTTGTCTTGTGATCCCCTGTACTTGGGCACTTGGGAAGTCACGACTCACATGGATGCCGTGCCACTGATCAAGCCATCTACTACTTTACAGGACAATTACAACATGGGAGCTTGACATTAGAAAGGAAACTGCATTGAAGCTTCGCAGCACATAGGCCCTACTGGTATATATCTCTAGTAGAAAATTAGATTTGTCCCCATATAAATTAAATTACTCATATGATGAAGCATGGGCCCTACTGGTCATGACCTTTCAGACAAGTCTTTTTCATGTCAAAAATTTGTCTTGTGGCCATGTTAGTTTGCTGAATGATGAATGGTTAGATTCACACATCTTGAAGGGAAAAGAAAAGTTACAGTTGATTTTGCAGAGAAATGTTGCTGTTAATTGGATCTTTAGGGTCATATCAGAGTTACAAATTCTGTTCTTTTGGCGCATTCTCCCTGTCCCTGTTATATTGACAGGGAAAGTGGATCATATTTTTCTTCAGCTGCAAGCAATCATATATGCAAAGAAAATTCAAATAATTGCAGAGCAGCAGCTCTTATTCAACAAGGGACATTGATAATCAACACAAAGACTAATTAAGTTGCAGAGCATCCTGTCAAGAATGTAGACCCTGAGTACTTAAGCAAGTGGCTTATGCATAGTGCAATATCACATAATTGAAAAAGATTGTAATTCTCATTTTTCAATGGAGACACTTCACCTTCCTTCTCCTTAAACCCTTCTTCACATGTAGTTGGTGCTTCCTTAACTGCACTCACCCAGATATTTGCCGTGCCGTAATCCTCCCTCAGAAATGCTCCAACAGCATCCCTCAGTGTTGTGATCGCATCCGAATATAGCTGCAAGCAGTCCTTCAAGCAAACCAGAGCAAAAGGATCAAAACTTTTGTTACTCGACAGCTTCTCTATGGTGGACAGTGTGTTGGTTGCATTTCCTAGTGCTAGCTCCATTGCTATCAATGCTAGTCCTTGAAGATTAGTCACATGGCTGACAGGCACGGCTTGGAGAGAGGTTGCGCAAACCATGTAGCTAATGACGTCGAATTCATCTGCGCATTTTTTGCAGGTTTGGTCGATTATATCAACAGACGTTGCAGCAATGGTGGACAATTTTGAATGAGGAATTACAAGGAAAAACATGCAGCAGCAGATTAAAAAGAAAGAAATGTGATACATTTTTTTCCCCTTGGTTTTCTTGGTAGATAGCAAGTGAGATAGGGAATGGTTCTAAATATGAATTTTGCTATGCAAGGGGATTTTAGAGGAAGCTTCCTAGAATGCAACATATATTGCCTTTTTTTTTTTTTTTTTTTTTTTCT